GCCGGTGTCCTGCAGAGTTTAGCTCCAACCCTAATTAAACACACCTGAACCAGCTAATCAAACTCTTACTAGGCATAGAAACTTGAGGCAAGTTGGAGCTAAACTCTGCAGGACAACCGGCCCTCAAGGACCGAGTTTGGACAGCCCTGGCTTAATGGAATCATTACGGATTGACTTTCATATACAATCAGGAGTCACATTTCTTAACGTCCTAATTCCTTACATCACTGAGGGAAAGCTAGCATAGTCAAAGAGCACAGACTCTCTAAAATACGGCTTTAGAGTAAAGGTCCGGCAGCCTTCATTAACAATTTATAACGTCTCTCTGACTTCAGCATTTAAAAAAGCCCAACAATCTGAAACGTATTCATCATGAAGCTAAAAATAAAATCAAGGGATGGCAAATCGCACTACAAAGTTCGTGACTAGGTCATGTTGGTAGTTTCTAAAGCTCAGACAATGTATTTAAAATATTTAAATAAAACAAGATAACACAAATTAAATGTCAGATATAAATGGAATTACAGCATTGGCCTAGATTCTTTTAAAGTGGAAATCAAACCACACTGGAGAAAGTGGAAAGTACTGGGCGTCAAGGACCAGGTCAAAGTAACACCAACCCTTGCAGGTCAGCCTTCTCAAATGCACATTACTATTGAAACACACACATACATTGAAATGAACCATTACGATTCTCACAGAAAACTGCAGAAGAATTTCAATAAAAAATTTAAAAATGCAATACAGTGAAATGGGAACTGGCCAGTGTTTGTAGTATTTTTCTCATTTATTTTCTTCTTAAGCATTTAAACTGGTTTAGCTCTGGGTATCGATAGCGCTATCATTAAGGACTTCCCCCGTTTGATGTGTGTGTGAGCGTATCCTTTTTCACTCTCTAAACCTAACAGGATGTTTAGACATGAACTCCGAGCCTGGAGTCCGCTTAAGTTAATTAGCAGGCATTGTTAATGAGCACTCTGAGCCGGCAGTTAGCCGTTCTGCTAGTATTTGATGAAACCGTCCAGGGCAGGCTTATAATGACTTACTGCTATTAGCGCTGTACAGAGCAGACAACCAATTAAACATCATGTTCAAAGACTTTCACCATATTAGTACCGATATCACAATGGAAAGTAAATCTCATGAGAAACAAAATTTTATAAACATCTGATGAATGATGCTGCAACGATTCATGGAGCAGCGCTGTGGCCAAACAGCACAACAATGAAGGTCCGCCTTCTGAGGGCCAGTGTGTGTTGTGATTGATTAGCTGGGCCAGTGTGTGTTGTGATTGGTTAGCTGGGCCAGTGTGTGTTGTGATTGGCAGCACTCGGCGCCTGGTCGGGAAATGTCATGCCCCTTATCATAGCCGCCTGCTAGCTTCAGTGTAAATATTGCGTCAAAACCAAATAAATTTGAGCGCGATTTAAACCCGGATAATTGTAACCACTCTAAGTTTGTCAGCCTTGGGAAAGCTAGCTTGTTTCCGACATAGTGATAACACTTGTTGCCTTCTGTAGTGCAGCTCAACCAGGTCTCGTCCCATTCGTCGATATTTGTGATATCACAAATCCCAGAAAATATGCGTTGTAGTCCAAACGAGTCGTTCGTTGTAGTTTTTGAAAAGTGATTTCTGTTAAATAAAATATCTCCTTTTGAAGTGGACTTTGAGCTTTGTAACTTTGCAGATCTTTTTTATGCTCAAACAGCAACATTACAGACTAACTAAAGTCAAAAGTGAAAAAGCATGATAGGACCCCTTTAAAAAAGGTAATAGCAACTTTTTATCTCACAGTTCTGACTGTTTTTATCGCAATTGCAAGTTTACATTTTGCAGTTATGACTAATTTCTTAGAATTGTGCGATA